GGTGATGTAAGCTATGTGGCGTAAAGTATGCGGTGTGTGCTATGTTGTGTAAGCTGTGTGGTGTAAGTTATGTGGTGAAAACGATGTCGTGTAAGCTCAGAGCACGGGGCGCCCACGAGGCGCCCACCAGGCAGCACGGGCGGCAACGTGCCGCATCTTCGGGAAATCCACCCAGCGCACGGGGCGCCGGGGGGCGCCCATGAGTCAGGCGATCGCAAATATGGATCACGGGGGCGTGGATTAGCGACGGGTCCCGTTTCCATGGGAAATCGCGGATTGTCGCCGCCGAGCGGGGCAGCATGGGCCGCATTTTCGGAAGGGCACCTCCCCCCGGTCCATGGATTTGGCGACCGCGCGCCAAATCCATCAATGGCTAATCCATGTTTGCGCGCCCCCGAATGGGCGAATGAGGCGTCACGGGCGGCAGCGTGGCGCAACCTCGGCATACCCCCTGGCGCGGGGCGCCCACGAGGCGGCACGGGCGGCACCGCGGCGGCACCGTGGCATGCCCCCCAAGCGCGGGGCGCCCACGAGGCGCCCACGAGGCGGCACGGGTGGCAACGTGGCGCAATGTCGGGTTGCCCCCCAAGCGCGGGGCGCTCACGAGGTGCCCACGAGGTGGCCACGGGCGGCACCGTGGCGCAACTTCCGCGTACCCCCTCAGCGTGGGGCGCCCACGAGGCGGCACGGGCGGCAACGCGGCGAACACCCGGAATGCCCAACCCAATATTGAAGGAAGGGACGTGAGCACTTCGAAGTGCAAGCGCTGTTTGGGGATCTATCTGAGCCGAAACGCAACACAACTGCCCACAGCCCATCAAAAAAACGGGATTGTCGTCTGGGCTTGGGCAGCACGCTGGCGGCGTCACCTGCACACCGTGGTCAGTTTGATATTGAATCGTGGCAGCACTTCCAGCATGACAACTCTTTTCACGACCTTCCTTTGGTTGGGTATGAATCGAGCACTTGTTCCTTCCTCCAGCTTCCTCCCTTCAAACCTTCTACTCCCTTCCTCCTAGCTCTCTCGCTCTCTCTGGGCGCTGCCAGCTACGCAACTGGCGCCACTTTCGTGAGCTTTTGGGAGGTCTAGCGGGGTGCGGCCCTACGCGGATCACAGTGCCACCCTCGCGTCCTTGGCTGCCAGCTGCGAATCTGTCGCCACTTTCGTGAGCTTCTGTGGATTGCGGCCCTCTGCGGATGAAAGCATGACCCTCGCCTCCACTGGCGCTTCCAATTGCGCCAGTCCAGCGGAGTTGCGTTCCTACGCGGATCAAAGTATCACCCTCACCTCCCGTGGCGCTGCTGATTGCGCAACAGTCGCCACGTTCTTAGCACGTGGAAGCGACTAGAGGCCTCCTGGATGCCTCTCAGAGTCGCTTGGGGTGTCTCGTGGGGGGCTCTTGGTGGCCTCTAAAGGCGTCTTGGGGGCCTCTTGTGGTGTCTTGGGGGCCTATTGGGGGCCTTTGGGGGGCCTCTTAGGTGCCTCTCGGGGCCTTCTTGGGGCCCTCTTGGGAGCCTTGTAGGCCTGTTCGGAACCATCTTGGACGACATCGATCATAGAAGGGGGGATCCCCAGTTAGGGTCCCCTTCTAGAGCCCCCAGCATCGCCTCCTGGGGTTCTCTTGGGGCGCTCTTTGGGCACTCTTAGGCGCTCCAAAGCGCTGATGGGATTACCCTCGCCTCTTTGGGCATTGGCAGATGCGCAACTGTTGTTACTTTCTTGATGTCCTGGGAGGTCCAGCGGATTGCGACCTTGTGCTGCCACGCGGATGAAATTCTGTCCCTCGACTTTTGGGCGCTGGCATCTGAGTAGCTGCGCAATTGTCGTTCCGTGAGCGCCGGAGACGTCCAGCGGAGCTCGGCCCTACGCGGATGAACGTGATACCCTGGCCTCTCAGGGCGTTGCCAGCTGCGCAACTGGCCATTCTCGTGAGCTCCTGAGAGCGTTACGCGGACGAAAATATAACCTTCGCCTGCATGAGCGTTTTCGACTGCGCAACAGCCTTTTTTCCTGTGGTGATCAGTTGCCTTACCGGGGGGAAGGGGAGTAACGTCATGACTTGGACGCTGGCGCGAAAGGAGCACCAGGCGGGTTAGATGCACAAGGTGTGCCAGGCGTGCCACGTGCGATAGGTTCCTTCCTCCACTCCTTCATTCCATCCCCTTTCTTTCCTCCTGTTTCTCCCGCCTTCCCTCCAGTGCGAAGAACCATCGTGGGCCATCCCCATCGGCCCGAGTGGGCCGCCTCGGGCCCTCTTGGGGCTTCTTCGAGCTTCTGACGCCACCCAGGCCCGCCTGGGCTCTGTCACTTGGAGCATCCAAGGGCCTCTTGGCTCCTACTGGAGCTCCCTGATGCCTTTGTGGCATCCAGGGCTCTCCTGGGGCATCCCGCGGTGTCGTGGGCACTTCTGACACTTTCGGAAGGTTCCCACTGCCTCCGAAGGCCTCCAGTAGCCTCCCTTGACCTCCTGTGGTTTCCCAAAGTATCCTGGGGCCTCCTCGGGCGTCTTCCCGGCTTGTTTTGGCATATCCTGGAGCTTCTTGGGGCTTCCCAGCCTATCCTGTGGCCTCCTGGAACTTCTCATGATTTTGTGGATCATCTCTGACCAGGGGGTCCCAAGTCCGCCCAAGACCCCCCCAAACAGCTTTGAGACCTATGCTAGAAGCCGCAAATCATGCCCCAAGACGGCCCCAAGGGATACTGAAAGGCCGGCCGGCGAAAGAGGCTGCGGAGCAGGAGGCTTCCCGGGCCTGCCAGCGCCGTCGCCAGCGCCGGCGCTGTGGCCGTCGCCACCGTGGCCGCCGCAGCCGTGTCCGCAGCCGCGCTGGCCCAGGAGCCAGCGGGCGAGCTGGCGCGGCCGCGGGGGCTCGATCATGACGCCGCCGGGGATCCCCCCGCCGCCCGCGCGCCCGCCGCCGGCGCCGCGCGCGGCGACGCCCCCGCCGCGGCAGGGGGAGCGGCGGCCCTGGGTGTGGAGCGGGGCGTCCGCGGTGCCCGCCGCGGGCGCCTGGTTCGACGGCCGCGGGTTCTGGCTGAACCACATCCCCTGGGGGCTGGCGGCCGCGGTGCACCGCTGCCGGAGGAGGAGGAGGAGGAGGAGGAGGAGGAGGAGGAGGAGGAGGAGGAGGAGGAGGACCCGTGGAAACCCAAGAGTCATCAACGATGTTGGAAAAAACCCTCCCTCCAAGCTCCCTCGTCGCAGGCCCCCACAACAGTTCATTTCCATTGAGGGAGCTGCCTCGGTGGAAGACAACCGCTTGAAGACCCTGACGCATGCCACAACATTGTTCTCGGGATTCCAACGCCACGGATCAACCTGACTGTTTCTTTTTGACGATCCTGGATCGTGCCAGAGCGTCATTCTTGGGACGCCAACACCGCGAATCAAGTAACTGTAGCACCCGCAAGTCCAGAATCCATCAAACAACAGTTTCTGGTACTTCGATCATGGGAATCCCTGAAACCTTGCACATTATATAAACGAATGTGCGCGGCGCTAAGACGGGAACCACATGTTGAAAAAGAACCGCCCTCAATCCGTGAAGCCCTTGCACATGTTTAAAGCGAATGTGCGCGGCGCTAAGGCGAGAAGCACATTTTGAAAACGGGTGGTCCTCAACCCGTTAACCTCTTTCAAATGTTTAAGACCAATGTGCACAGCGCTAAGGCGAGAGACACATTTTGAAAACCACCCGCCCTCCATCTGTGAAACTGTTACCAATTTCTCAGCTTCAGGATCATAAGTGGTGAGGAAGTTTCAGAGGAAACGCCCGGCCCGCCCTAAAGACTGGCCTTGGGGTGCGACAGGGAGAAATTAATTACATATAAGGAACAGAGATGGGGGAGGAGGAGGAGGAGGAGGAGGAGGAGGAGGAGGAGAAGGAGGAGGAGGAGGAGGAGGAGGAGGAGCAGGAGGAGCAAGGAGATATGCCTATGCCGCTGCTGCGTCCATCGTCGCCGCGGCCAGATTCGCATCGAGGTCCTGGTCAGAACGCGCCCCCGGGAGATGTCCGGGAGCAGCGGCCTCGGGTTCCCCCCACGCCGGCCCTGGTGAAGGTTGCCAGAGTGGGTCCTGGCCCCAGAGGTATCCCCTCATTTTCTGCACCCTCTCGGGGCTCCCCGCGAGACCCTGTGGGCCCCGTGGGGAGTGCTCTGGAGGCCGCCTGGTACTCCCTGGAGAAGGTGGGGACATACTCTGGGCCAGGGCCGCGTGGGGCAGCGCCCGAGGGCTCTGGTCGGGTCCGTCCTTGGCTCTGGATCGACGGTCCTCAGGACGCGTACAGGCCCACTGCACGTTAGCGCGCCGCCTGTGCTGGCCCTCGTTGCACCGCCTGCGTCGCCCTGACGGGCTTCGGTGGACGAGCGCACGCTGGCGCGAACACGCGTGCTGAGGACCATCGACTGGTCCGGAGTACAGCTTTCAGTGCCAGGCCAGTCCAGG